TGCCGGGGGGGGGGGAAGGGTGTAGGAGTGGGGGAGGGAGCCCCATGTAGCCACACAAAGGGATCGTGGGGTTTGGGATGTGCCCAGCCCCTGGGAGCCAGAGCCGTGGGGCGGGGAAGCTGCCAGAGGCCAAGCCGGGCCGGGCACTCACCTTGCAGGGGTTGTGGAGTCCGATCCAGACATCCCCGGAGGTCATCTTGCTGAGGTACTGGCCCAACGCGTCCCTTTCTGCATCATTGAGGATGGAGGCCAGATGGGCCCCGGGATGGTGATTCTCACACTGCACCTGCAGCAGGGACATGGGCCAGGCCTGTCACCCTGCGGGAGGATGCTCGTTGCCCCGGTGTGGGGTCCTGCCCCACCCGGCTCGTTGCCCTGCTGTGGGGCCCTGCCCCACCCGGCTGCAGAGGGGTAGGGGCATGAGAGAGTCCCCTCTCGGAGCCTGTTCCTGAGCCCCAGAGCCGGCACCCAGACAATTCACCTCAGCTGCCCCTCTTCAGAGCCAGTCACCAAACCCACTAACCTGCCCCACCCCATGGATCCTGGAGAAGAGCCTCCTACCTCAGCCGCTAACCAGGTCACTGAATCACGGTAGTACCCGTAGCAGTGGGACCCCAGCCACGGGGACAGGCTGTGGAGTTTATCCCCGATCCAGTCCGGAGACCGCGCAGACTTAATGGCCCCTCTCTCCTGTTGCTTTCAGTGGGGCTGAAGCCCCTCAGCTAAAAGAGCTGCCCCCTTTTGCCCCCTTTCCCTGTGGCAGTGAGGCTGCGCTACCGACAATGACCGGTGTCCCCTCCCCCACAGGGGCCAGGCGCTGGGGTGTCCTCAAGGAAGATGGCCACCTCCTGTCTTCTGTGCGAGGACGCTGGGGAAGCTGACACAAAGGAGCAGCAGGGCGGTGGAGTCTGAATACACAGGGGATGGTGGGGTGAGGATGGGACTGGTGGGGCAGAGAGCAGAAGGGAAGTTGGGGCACAGGGGTACAGCACAGGCTGAAGGGACCCCACGTGCTTGTTTGCCAACCCAGAGACGAGGCTTTAAACTAGGTTGAAAAGAGGCAGGTGGAAAAATCCCAGAGGTGACCTTAACAGAGGCTACGTGTGGGGTGGGAAACAGAAAACTGCAAAAGTGGAAGTGGAGGGAGCAGCAAGAGGGAGAACCGTGCGGGAAGGGCCTCTCAGACGTCTGCACACCAATGCAAGGAGGAGCTCCCTAAAAAGAGGGGGAAACTGTGACAGCAACTCCCACAGGAGGAGGAGGAGGAGGAGGTATTTCCAGGAGAAACAACAGAAATAATCTTTTAACTATCCTATCAATAGAAAGCAGAGGAGCCGGTCGGAATTGGGGGGACTCCAGTTTCCCAGATATTCATTGGGAAAACGTGAACATTTCACAATGTCCTTGGGCCGTATGAGGAGTGAAGGGGAAGAAGGTCCGAGGGGAACAGTCACCTCAGGGCTAATTCTGACTCACAAGGAGAAATTGGTTGTGGATCTGAGGTTCTAAGGCAGCGAGGAGAAAGTGCCCCTGAACGCGCAGAAGGAGGGAAGGGAAGGAGTGAGCATCGGCAGCAACAGCAATGGCATTGAACGAGGGTTATTTAATAAGCTCAGAACTGGCCGGTGAGGGCTCATGGGAGGAAAGTCGAGGAGAAAAGGGAGTTCCGCAGAGCTGGCCGTGTCTCCAAGAGACGATATTAAAGGTGCAACGGCGCATTCTCCCCACGCAGGGGCTGAGCTGCTGGCCAGGGTCTGGATCGATGGGTCGGGTGGGGCAGGGGCTATGGGGACCCAGCTCTGATGGCTGCTCCCCCACGGTGGGGCTGGCCCCCTGAGTGAAATGACTTCACGTCCCATCGGGGCAAACAGAGCCTGGGGTGTCCAGGCCGAGGGGCCGGGCAGGGACTCACCTTCCAGCGAGGGGTTAAAGATCAGGCAGCCGAGGAGGCAGAGGCTGAAGAAGGCGACTGGGCCCATCGTCTCGCTTCCCTGGGGAGAAAACACACAAGGGGGATGGGCGGGGGAGCCTGACACCCCCCTGGAAAAACTCCACCCCCCCCATGGGGCATTTCCCGGGGAGGGGTTCTGTGGGGGGCTGTGCGCTAAGGAGCCTGGCCAGGCTGAAGGGCCCCCGGG